TTTATTGGACGTCACACGTTGCCTATTCCACGTCAAACTTTAACTTATTCCATGTGCACTCAAACGATGCCGGTGGGTGGAAACCGTGACTGAGTCTGGTTGCTGACCCACAGGCTGGAAGTTCAAGGCCACCAGAGGTGATAAGCTGCTCAACAACCAGTCCTGGAGCACTCTGTTTTGCCGCTGCACTTCCAGTCAGTAAGCACTTCAAGTTAGCAGCCACCCGGGGATGACCGAGTGGACAGGGACTGAGCCATCAGGTGGATGGGCAACAGACAGATGAAACCCACGGCACCTTTTCCATGTGAGAGCGCAGGTAGACTTTAAAACAAGGTACGCGAAGAAGTCCAATGTGAACTGTTGGCAGAGGGAGTTCCCAGTGCTGCGTTCAAAGGCAGAGGGAGTTCCCAGTGCTGCGTTCAAAGACACGAGATCAATGACATAAGGGACCCAGGCCACGCCCGGTTGTAACTCATAGTGGTCTCCGAGCTGAAGGAGGGGGAGGGGGAGGTGACTGCAGACAAACCCTCGGGGTATCAGTAGTCAGAACTCCAGACCAGTCCACAGCACCAGGCAGCACTGCCCAAGTGTTCTCCGGCTGGGGTTACCTTCCAGGGACTGGTGAGAGGGGCAGGGTCCTTCAGGGGGTCTGCCACTATGGGGCAGGGGGCATCCCTCTCCAGAACACAAAGAACTTCCGCTCCATGATGTCACCTCTCTGGCTCACGGAGGCCACAGGCCGTCCACTGAGCATCCCAGCCTGTGTGGAACCTTGGCCACCTGCGAGCAGTGGGGGCTGTGCAGGTTTCGGGGTGCTTCCGGCGGCTGTAAGAAGTCCTAGCTCTGGAGGAGCTGCACCAGGAGCCCCCTCGCCCCCTTGGCTTGGAGCCTCCTCCCTGGAGGGGGTGGTGCTGTCCGAGGGTGGGCAGGGAGGTCTCCGTTGCCTACAGAGGGTCTGCAGCAAGTCCAGGGGGGGTCTGTTCTCTGAGGGCTGGGGAGGAGCGACACAAAGCCTTTTTGGGTTGAGTAGAAAGAGACAAGGCAGGTGGGGCATTCGAATACGAGCTTTCTTTAAGCTAGGGGAAAGAAGGCTAACTGCTTCCACTCAGTTCCTGTCTTCCTCCATTTTCCTCTGGTCCATAGATGCCCCCCCTTCAAATTGGGAGTGAGTGTGCAATCAGCGGAGACCTGTGTGTGCCACACGCCTGTCCTGCCTATGAGGGAGAGCTGCCGCAGGAGTGAAAGGAGTCCACAGGAGCCACACCGGGCTTCGTCCGTCCACGCCGGTCAGGACTCCTCATGCGCCACGCCCCCGCTTTGCCTTCCTGGGTCACTCGTGGTCTCCTGGGGCTCATTCCACGTGGCAGGAAGTGCTCACCTCTGACTTTACAGAGGAGGAGCCAGCTGACATTCTACCTGCCAATTGCCACGATGGAGGGGTGGAGTTTTTGGCCTTGGAAAGCCTGCTGGCGTCCTTATATGGGGCGAAGAAAGGGAAAGTCGGTCTTACCTGTGTCTCTGGAGGAGCTGTGGGCAGCAGTGCGGGATGGGCAGGGACGCTCCCTGCAGGATAGAGCAGGCACGGACTCAAGTGGTTTTACACTGTGAGAACACAGTGAACAGACTTGGGGGGCCCTGCCCCACACCACCTATTTGATTCCAGGAGAGAGGTGAGGGACGCCACCTGCACGGCCCCACCCAGATCCTATCGTGTCAAATTTTCGAGTGTCACTTTTGGCATTTCTGAATGTCAGATTTCCAGTGTTTCAGCATCACGATCATGCTGTCAGGTGCCATTAAGTTGCGCAATTGAGATCCACAGCGACCCTGTGCACACCACAAGGAACAATGCCGGGCCTGCGCCGTCCTCACCACGGTTCCGTACTGGAGCCCATTGGTGCAGCCACCGTGTCGGGCCACCTCTTGGAGGCCCTCCACTTTACCAAGCACGATGTCCTTCGGTCTTTCCTGTCCACAGGTCCAAAGTATGTAAGACAGAGTCTCACCATCCTTGCCTCTAAGGAGCATTCCGACCATACTTCTTCCCAAACAGATTTGTTTGCCCTGTGGGCAGGCCAGGTTCCTTCCAATTTTCTTCATCAGCACCACGCTTCAAACACTCGGTTCTTCTTCGGTCTCCCTTTCACATGCATAGGAAGCAATGGAAAGCACCCCGGCTTGCGTCAGGCACACTTTAGTCCTCGAAGCCACTGCTGAGATTGTCAGCACCGTGAAGAGGTCTTTGAAGCAGATCTCTGCCTGCAATGTGCCCTTTGATCTCTGGACGATAGCTTCCCTGAGCACCGAGATAAAAAAACTGGATTGTAAAATTCGATTCTAAATTAAATTATGTGCTATTTAAAAATACTTCTAAATTATAGGAAATCGAGGGCTACAAAAGATCCAACAAATATAAACCAGGGTGAGTTAGTGTATCTATAGTAGTAACAGACGAATCACATGCTCAGACAATAAATAAACTCTGCAGACATGCACGGAGCTCTAGTGGTGTCATGGTTACAGGTTGGGTTCCTAACTGCAAGGTCAGCAGTTCAAAACCACTACCTGCTCTGTGGAAGAAAGAGAAGCATCCTAGTCTCATAAAGAGATACAGGATCCCCCTTACAGAAGGGTCACAAGAAAGAGAGAAGCCAGTCAGGGTGCAGTATAGCACCAAGGACACATAAAACTTCCCCCTAGTTCTTGAATGCTTCCTCTCCACCCCTCCCACTCTCATGACCCCAATTCTGCCTTACAAATCTGGCTAGACCAGAGGATGTACACTGGTACAGATAAGAGCTCAAAATACAGGGAATCCAGGACTGATAAACCCATCAGGACCAATAATGAGAGTAGAGATACCAGGAGGGTAAGGGGAAGGTTGGGGAGAAAGGGGGAACTGATCACAATGATCTACATATAACCCCTCCCCTGGGGGACAGGCAACAGAAAAGTGGGTGAAGTGGGTGAAGGGAGACATCAGTCAGTGTAAGGCATGAAAAAATAATAATTTATAAGTTCGCAAGGGTTCACGAGGGAGGGAGGGGAAACAATGAGGAGCTGATACCAAGGGCTCAAGCAGAAAGAAAATGTTTTGAAAGTGATGATGGCAACCAATGTACGAATGTGCTTGACACAATGGATGTAAGTATGGCTTGTGATAAGAGTTGCACGAGCCCCCAATAAAATGAATAATAATAAGAAAAAAGAGAGAGAATCTCAGAAACCCACCTGTCCTACAGGTCACGAGTCAGCCTCGACTTGATGGCAGTGAGTCTTTGAGGTTTGCTCTGCAGACACGCCTGATAGAGTCAATCACAGAACCATACATCTCACGTTTTGCAAAATAACTCTTTTTCATATCTAGTTGAAAACGAACTTTTGTGAAAGTGCAGCATATACTACAGATACAGAATATGTGTTTGTTGACTGTTTATGGTATCTGACCAACTGTAAGCTACGCTTCATAGTCTTCCTTCTCTTCTCTCTTCCTTTGTGGTGGGAAAGAGACATATGTGGAGGTTAGCCTGTCTGGAGCCTGGGCAGTGGTGGTGGTGGGTGAGGGGTTGGCACACCAACCCTGCGTTGGTCAGAGGGGCCTTCACAAAGTTTGGGGGGGAAATCCCGTTATCTTTCCATCCCATTTTCCATGCCCAGAACCCTTTCCATCCTGACATTTCTTACTGGGAGTGGGGCACTTGTGACCCTCACCACACAGTTCCACCACCCATTGCCCTTTCCGAGGTTCCCACCCCCTTCACAGAAGCCCCTAGTCTTCTGAGTGCTGCCACCCAGGCCCCTCCTCCTGGGCCTGGCCCTGACTCCAACCACAGTCCACATGGAGAGCCAGCACCGGTACCTTCTGTGACAGCCCTCCAGGGCTCGGAGGCTCAGGGAACCCTGTACCCTTCTCCCTTCACGGCCTTCGGGGCCCGCTGGAGATCCAGGTGTTTAAAGTCGGGCTAGACTGAATACATATAGCAGATACCGTGGTGTGTCTTCCTTCAGTTCTGACTCGGGGGCTTTATCAAGACAGCCCACAGGCACAAGCCCCACTTAGCCGGTGCCATTTCCGGTGGGCCTATCCACAACTTACTGCGGAGACTCCAAGGACGTCCTCCTGCAATTTCCCCAATATCTCTTATGTGGGCACCCCTGCCTACACCCTCCCGCCCCGCCCCCTCCCGTGAAAACATTAGGCGGGCCCCTCTCAGGCTGGGTGATGTCAAAGCACACCTCCCCTCTGAGCTCCTGGGAGCCTGGCGGAAACTCTCCAGATGGCTCTGGGGCCGCGCGGGCGGGGCGGGGGCGGGGCCAGCAGCGCATTTACAAACTCCAGGTGGCGGCGTCCGCAGTGCCGCCTGCTCTGGGACTCAGTCGGGTTGGGTTTCCCTGGACAGAGGCGCGCTAGCTGAGGGCCACCCAGCGTGGAGGGCGAGGAGGAGCAGTGCCCAGGATGGAGGGGTCTACGCACTCGCCGCCTCCCCGCGCCCTGCGCGCCCCAGCTCGGCCAGCTCGGCGCTCCCTGGAGCAGTAAGGACAGGAGCGACACGGGACTCCGCATCCGTGCCCGGCAGAGCCAGGAGGGCGCGGCTCAGAGGAGCGGTGGGCGGCGACCCATCCTACCGAGACGCTTGGGCCTCTGCCCCGCGCGCGGCGACTTCCCAGGGATCCCCCTTTCCGTGCCCCCAGCGGAGCCCCTGAGCGCCCAGCTGCAGACGCCGGGAGAGCGCCGCGGTGCGCTGGCCGGGTGGGTGCGCTCCCTCCATCCCTGCCAGCGCCAGCACCCAGGGAGCCACAGGGAGCGGGGTGCGCAGCAACAGGTGCGGCGCGGCCACTCCCCACTGGGCACCCCGGACCGCAGCCGTCCCCGCGCTGGAAGCTCGGCGCCTCGAGGGCGGCGTGGGGGCGGGGCCCCGCGGACTGTGGGCCAGGACGGCAGGCGTCACCGCGCGCCCCTCGCACCCCGCACCCCGCACCCTGAGCTCCCAGGCGCCAGCATGGAGGTGGCGGTAGACAACGCCAGCGAGGGCAATGCCAGCCGGCCGGAGGCTGGCGGGCCGGAGCCACGGCCGCTGCTGGGCATTGGCGTGGATAACCTGGCTACACTGGTGGCGTTCAGCGTCATTTTCGCTCTGGGCGTGCTGGGCAACAGCCTGGTGATCACCGTCCTGGCGCGCAACAGACGGGGCAAGCCGCGCAGTACCACCAACCTCTTCATCCTCAACCTGAGCATCGCAGACCTGGCCTACCTGCTTGTCTGCGTCCCCGTACAGGCCACCCTGTACACGTTGCCCACCTGGGTGCTGGGCGCCTTCATCTGCAAGTTCTCGCACTACTTCTTCACCGTTTCCATGCTGGTCAGCATCTTCACCCTCGCTGCGATGTCCGTGGACCGCTACGTGGCCATCGTGCACTCCCGGCGCTCCTCCGCGCTGCGGGTGCCCCGCAACGCGCTGCTGAGCATAGCTGTCATCTGGGCGCTGTCCATCGCCATGGCCTCGCCGGTGGCCTACCACCAGCGCCTCTTCCACCGCAACAATGAGACCTTCTGCTGGGACTTGTGGCCCAACCCACGCCACAAAAAGGCCTATGTGTTGTGCACCTTCGTCTTCGGGTACCTGCTGCCCCTGCTGTTCATCTGCTTCTGCTATGCCAAGGTGCGTGGGGTCAGGGGACCAGGCTTGCTTTCTGGGCTTCTCTGTGCCAGGGACCCCTGACATCCAGGCGGCCCCCCCCCCCCACTGGCAATTGCCCAAGAAAGTTATTTGAAGTTTGAGAGTTTGGGAAGATGCTGGGGGACAGTGACCCTTCACTTCCCAGATGTCCCTAACCAGCTCTGTCTACCTCTCCAGTCCCTGCATCTGGCAGCCCTGGCCCGAGAGGGAGCTGAGTGCCCTCCTTGTAAGGGAAGCCGGTGGGAAGAAGCAGGTTTCCAGTCAGGCGAGTGAGTGGCAAAGTGGGGGCTAGAGGTGCTGTCCCTGCCCTGTCTAGCGCCCTGTCTCCTGGGATCAGCTCAGAGAAGCCAGTGATCCTGGGGACAGCACGGTCACACAGTTTGTTGTGCACAGAAGTCTTCCTGGAAAGCCTGACGGCTCAGGAAGCATTTCTCCACTGAGCCAGACAGGTGTGTCCTGGGGAGTTTGGGAGGAAGCAGGGTGGTGGCATTTCCCATTGGTGTCCTTTTAAAGAGGCCTGGCAAGGAGAGGGTGTGGCTCTGGTGGTCCCAATCTCTGCTTAGAGGAGTGCTATAGGTGGGAACATAAACACACACACACACATACACACACACAGACACACACACGCCTGAGAGACAGGGGGACCATTCGTGTCATCCTGGCACATGGCCCTGCCAGCTGCCTCTACCTCCTCCTCTTTTGCCAACTACACACGATTCTGGAGATTCCCTACAGACCCCCGGTGGGGGCGACTTAGGGGCATATTCTAGTACTTCCTTCAGAGTAGAACTGCCATCAGAAATACACCGGTGTCCCCCAATTCAATGTCCTTTCAGCCTCTGAGCTGCCTCTGGCATGACTGTTAGCAGAGAGCTCTGGGAGAGGCCCGTGCAGCCAGGGCAGCGAGCCTGTTTCTGCATCAGACTGTTTAAGGAACCCCCCAACTGTTCAGGCACCAGGCTGCCTTCTCCCCAGTGTCCCGAGGGGGGCATGTTGGGGGAGAACCGGAAAGAATGACCCCCCCACCAGGGCTAGCTAGAAAGAAACCGTGGAGGTAGTACATTGGGGGATAACTAACTTATCTGCAAAGTGGCTGATGCGTTGATCTTGTTAGATGCTCTCAAGACAATGCTGACTCACAGCGACCCCGGGAGTATATGGAGGCAGAGCTGCTGTGGGGGGGTGGGGGAAAGAACTCCTGGGTGGTCAACTCTCTAGAAGCCTCCTGGGTGGTCACCTCTCTAGAAGCAGATGCCCCCCTGCCCTTCCCCTGCATCGGCGAGCTCAAGCTGCCCTCATTTGGGTGTCCCAAACATGTGCTCCACCCCTGTGCCCCCAGATCTCCTTTCTCTCTGCTGAGTGCCCTGTGGAGCCGACACAGGCTGGTTGAGTCCGTCCTGCGTGGCCTCGGCCTCCTGAGCCTGCACGCTGCCCCAAGGGTGGGCAAGTACCCTGCTGTTGCTGTCCCTGCTCTCCTGACCAGGGAACTGAGACTGGGCCGATTACAGGTCATGTGGTCTGATTTTCCCAGGGGGTTCCAAGTTCTCTGAATTGGGGAGGGGAGTGGCAGGGCATTGGGACCATTTAGGGGTGCAGTACTACTTGGTGGGCATGTGAGTGACACAATTACAGCCTCTTAAATTCCAAGAGGGTTGGGTTAGAGCCAGACTGGGCTCCCCATCCTACCCCAACCCTTTTCCAAAAGTCTCTGGGGAAAAGGAGTTCTTCCCAGCAGAGAAGCTGAGGTGCCCAGTGGGTGTCATGGTGAGTGTCTCAGAGGCCGGTTTCAGTCCTTCCCAGCTCTGCCATGACGGACACTCTGTTAGTCATCTCTCAGGTCCAAGGTGCTACTTCACAGGGCTTCTCTTTGGTTCCGTTGCTCCGGATGAGCTTCCCAGCCAAGGGAGGGCCCTGCCATTCAGGTGCTGGGTTCAGACCTGGGGGTTCTTCCCCAAGTACCAAGATGGACAATCACCAAAGGCCAGAGAGGCACCTGCCTCGTCCCTGGGTGTTTGTGTTTGATTTCAAGTTCAGACTGTACACAGCTTCTTCCTTATCTGTGCTGCAAGTTACTCTCTCACCATGTGGGAGGCTCGATGCCAAGTCTGGATGCAGGGTGCGGGCCAGTGGTGTGTGTGTTTGTGGGGGGGTGCGCATGAGAGTGGGGGGAGGCTCTCTCGGTCCTTGTTTCCTGTCATCTCTCTTGCCCCCTCTCTGCTTGTTAGCTTGCTGGCTCGTCTAATCTCTTTTTATCGCACAAGAGGTCACCTAGAAACTCGAGATACCTCCTCCCTGAGCCACTGCCTCATTCACACGACAGAAACAGCCCATCCCCACACGCGGCCGTGCACATGGAGGCTAGGATGTGCAGCACACAGTGTCGGGCACGTGGTTAATCTGCGTCATGTGAAGCTTGCTGCTCAGTGTTGCCCGCGTCTTGGGACCAGTGTCACAGAAGGGGACCACTGGTTTCCGTTTCTTCTCACCTGACCACAGCCCCAGATGCCCAGAACCCGTGCGCGCTGCCTGTGAGGCAGCCTGGGGGTCTTTCAAGCCTCTTGCCTGAGGTCTGCAGACCTTTGTTTATGAAGCTGAGCTCCGGTCCCATAGGATGCCTGGAGACCCCCTCCCCTAACAAGATGCCCACCCTTGCCTGCTCACTCCGTTAGTGTCCCCACAAAGCTCAGAGAGGGGCCTGGGTCAGGCTGGCCAGATGTCCCCCAACAGACATGCTGAGAATGGTTGGTCGGATGATGCCACTATGCCGCTGCTGCCTTTCCCTTTGCAGGGCACCCAGAAAGGGGGCGGGGAACAGAAGCTGAGCTTGGTTGATGCCTCCCTCCTCCTGGAGGGTGTGCCCCTCACCCCACCCCCACCCCACGTGCTCAGGAAGAGACACAGAACAGGACCAGCAGGTTCTGGGCCCTTTGTCCACTGGCTGGTCCCTCAACACTGCCCGATGTCCTGGGGGCTCCGGACAGTTCTGTGCAGGGTTCAGGCATACAGAGGACGGGGTGGCCAGTTCGCCTTTCCGTTCCTAAGCTGACTCCTCCCCAAGTGTCCCCCTCGGCCTGCGTTCCTGCAGCCTCTTCCTCCCCCCAGCCCCACCCCCTGGCTCTCAGGGTCCACCAAGTAGGCTCCACCCGGCCCTCCCTGCACCTGGGCAAGCATCTCTCTATACTGGGCTCACCTTCTGTGTGTGGCCCCTGGATTTCGGCTAGGGAACGTGCACGGGGCCGGATGGTAAGGCCTTCTCGAGGTGATCCCGGCCTCTTTCTGGAAGGGAGGAGCAGCGGAGTTGGGCAGGGCACATGTGGTCAGAGCTTCCTACCGAGTGGTGGCTGTTGTGGCTTTGTTGGGCGTGCGGGAAAGGTGGCCAGTTTGAGTGGCTCCCTGGAGCATGGAGCCCGGGGGGTGGGGTTGAACTTGGCCTTTGCAACGATTCCAATTCTATTAAACAGCCTCCAGGCCGGTGCTGGAGAACTACAGCGGCACAGCTAGCCTGGGCTCTGGCCCCTTTGAGACGCGCCACGGCCGCCCGAAGCCCATGGGCACCCAGGAGGGTGTTCTCTGGGGGGGTTTGGCTCAGACGAGGGAGCCAGCCCTGCATGATCACACTGTGGTCTCAGGCTATGCGTGTATCTGCACCCACGGAACCTTTCGTGTGGTTTCCCTGGGGAGGAGGGCAGCGACTGCTTCGCTAATTAGAAGCCGGCGGGCGCACCGTCCAGGAGGCTGGCTGACAAGGAGGTTAATTGCCAGCCAGGTTCCTGGTCTCCACCTCTCAATGCTGAGCCCCAAACGTGGGGTGGAGGGTGGGGGTAGGGGCAGAGAGCACAGCGGGGTGGGGGGCGGGGGCAGGGGCTCAAGGATAGAAAGGCAGGGTAGGATGTGTGGGTGTGTCTCCCTCTGGAGCCTGGAGAAGGAGGCTGTCCACAGCGGCAGGAGACAGAGACCATGGAGCGAACGTTGGCCCAGTCAGGCGGGCTGCTGTGGGGACAGCAGGTTCCACCGTCTGTGTCTGCTTCCCAGTTGGGTGGTGAACTGCTGGGGGCAGGGCACCGCCTCTGGTTGCTTGAGGCATCCGGGTGCTCTGGTAGCACACCTGTGAAGCACTTGCCTGCTAATTCTGTGGGGGGTGGGGGGAGGGCGTGGGGGGCGGGGCTCTCCTGGAGGAAGACCCTCCGTTGGTGGCCTTCAAGGGTCCAGCCTGCAGACGCTTCAGGGCAGTCCCACCCTGTCCACGAGGTCACAGAGAGCCAGAACCCACTGGGGAGTGCCCAGCAGCAAGAAGGTCCACGCGTCCTTGTGTCTGATGCCTGGTGGGAATCGCCTAACGCAGTGGCTCTCAACCTTTCATACAGTTCCTCATGTGGTGGTGACCCCTGAACCATAAAGCTATTATCTTTTTTTTTTAAATCATTTTATTGGGCTCTCATACAACTCTTATCACAATCCATAATACATCAATTGTAAGAAAGCACATTTGTAAATTGAATTCTTAACTCATTTTACCAGATCCATAAGCATTTTCTGTGTGTACACTCATGACATTTGTGAATATAAAGAATTTTGCTTCTTTTATATTTGTATGCCTTTTATTTCTTTTTCTTATCTCATTTGTTGGTGTTTCTTTCTTTTTAAAAAATCATTTTATTAGGGGCTCATACAACTTATCACAATCCATATATACATCAATTGTGTAAAGCACATTTGTACATTCATTGCCCCACAAAATTATTTTCATTGCTATTTCATCACTGGCATTTTGCTACTGTTACAAATTGGGCGATCCCTGTGAAAGGATCGTTCCACCCCCAAAGGGGTCGTGACCCACAGGTTGAGAACCTCTGTCCTAACGGGTTGGCAATGGGCTCCCTCCCTGCAGACAGGTGCTGAGTCCCATCCAACCAGAGACCTTGGTCTCCAGGGCTCATCCCCAAGGCAGGTGTGCCTGGTCATACCTTTGCAGGGCGAACCTTCGTTCCAGTGGCTTTGTTGGTAATGCTATTGCTTATGGATCAAGACAGCCCCGCCTCAGAATGCCGGTCGCGGTCCACGCCCAGTAAACAGTGCTTCCCCGGGAGTGTAGGTGGGTGCTGCTGTTGTTAGGCACCACTCAGTCAGTTCCAACTCACAGCGACCCCAACGCACAACAGCATGAAAGGTGCCCATCCTGCCTCCTCCGCTGATCTGTTCTTCCGTGAGAACCTGCCGTGCAGCCATGATGCCAACCCTCCTGGCTGAGTATCTCTCTTTGCCTCACTGACCCTCTCTTGATAGGAAGCCCAGCACGAGTGAGACAGCTGCCACCCCCTGACTCTGAGGGGCATTCTGGCTGTGTTTCCCTTGAGACACGCTTGGTGGTCCTCTGGGTTACCCTGGTGTGTTCAGTAGGAGGTAAACCCCTTTCCTTCATCTGTGTCTTTCAGGTGCTTAAGCATTTGCACAAAAAGCTGAAGAACATGTCCAAGAAGTCCGAAGCATCCAAGAAGAAGGTACAGCCGCCTGCGTGCAGTTTGTGCTTCTTCTGCATGCTCCTCACATCTGTCCTGGGACTGGGAAACCCGGGGTCCTTGGAATGGGAATGAGTGGCATAGTGGTTACCTGTTGGGCCACTAGCTACAAGGTCGGCAGTTCGAATCTGCCAGTCACTCCTTGGGCGGAAGTGAGGCTTTCCACTCCCATAAAAATGTACAGCCTCAGAAACCACGAGGGGCAGCTCTACTTTGTCCTGTAGGCTTGCTCTGAGTCCATGTCCACTCAGGGGCAGACTTTGGATGGTGACTTCTTACCACGGGGGCAGGGTGGGGACATAGAGTGGCTCTAGGTGAGGCAGTGCAGGTAAGGACAGGCTGTGTGAAACTGGGAGGGAGGCTTGGGCTGGAGTCTGCCTGCCTGCTTCGGAGTCCAGGCTCCATTTGGAGGTGCTGTCCAGGGAGCCTAAGGCAGGGTGCAGAGCCACTGCGGGGGTTTGTCTGCTATTGAACATCTGTGAACTGCCGTAGGTCCTGCTTCAGACTCTTTCAAAGAAAGCTTCTGCAGCTTCTTCCGAAAGCCTCCCACACAGACAGACAGACAGCCTCAGACATGACACAGGGCCACTGGGCATCGGGACACACTCCACGCAGTGCGTTTGGGGTGGGTACAGCCTCACCATTGTGATAAACAGAGAGAGATGGCCACGGACATAACAGTCCAGGAACCAAACGAGGCATTTCATTGTATCAAGTGCTGCCCCAAGCCTATGTAAAATGTTGAAGGCGAGGCTTTCACTCTGAGGACTAAGGTTCACCTGACCCCAAACACAGGATTTTCCATTGCCCCACACATATGTGGGGTTGGATTTTGACTAAGGGTGATGGAAGAGAGTGGGAGCCTTGGCATGATGGTGCTCTGGCAGAAGGTGGGAAGGACCAGGGACTGACGGAAGGACCAACAGGTCTGTCTGGGAAGAAGTACAGCCAGGGTGATCCCTACAAGCAAGGATGGTGAGACTTTGTCTAACGTGCTTTGGTGTGGTTACTGGCGAGAACAATGCCTGGAGAAAGACATCCTGCTTGGTAGAGCAGAGGGACCGCAGAAAGAGGAAGCCCCTGGATGAGGTGGAGTGACCCAGTGGTTGCTGCAGTGCGCCAAACATAAGAGCCATTGTGAGGATGGGGCAGGGCC